CACCTGAGACTGGGAGGGGCGGACTGAACCCGGGCGGGGACTGACTCAGACGCGGCTCCCTGGCCAGTCCTCGGCGTCTCTGCTCTCCTGTTGTCACCCACGTGAAAGGGCAGGAGTGCTTCACCCACGGGGAACGGGTCCCATGTCCCTGCTGGCAGCTGGCGGACCTGGGAGACAGGGTCCAGGTCAAATGCCTTGAGCCACCCCAGCCCTGCGGCTCCTGCTTAGGATCTGAGGCTGTGACTCCAGCCCCCCGCGCCTCGCCTCCAACCCTGCGTGGTCAGGACGCCTTCCTGCGCCCGCAGGCCCAGAGGGATCGCAGGCTCCCTGCAGGAGCACCCCCAGGTTTCCACTCCGCCCTGGAGGCCAGTGCTGTTGAAGCCGCCCCCCCTTTTCTTCCCGGAGGTCAGGGCCAAGGTGGACAGTAGCTGTCACCCCTCTGTGTTTATGGGCAGCTGCTGGCTGCATCAGGTCTGTCTAATCCCTCCCTGCCCCATTTGTCCTAGGACCTGCCCCTCCATCTCATTGGGGGTTAAAGGGAGCTGCCATCTATTGAGTGCTTACTGTGCAGACGTGTATTTCTCGTGTAATCCTCGCCACAGCGTAGCAGAAGGGTTATTATACCCGTCCTACAGCCTGCAACGGCTTGTCCCAAGCTCCAGGGATGGTGCACATGGATGACTGGGCTTTGCTAACATGTGTTAAGTGCCTACTATGCACCACTTAGTCCTCTGCTAACGAATGTTACTACATGATACCTGTGAAATGGGCACTGTTATTCTCATTTTACACAGGGAAGCCTAAACCTCAGAAAGTTTAAGTTACTTGTTCCAAATCTCATAGCTCCACGTGGCAGAGACAGGATTTGAATTCAAGTTCCCATGAGCCAGAGGCAGATCCTGACCTCCGCGCTCCTCTGCACAGGCGTGGTGCTGTAGCGCACTGCTGTTCAGGGTTCGTGAAGTGATGCAGAGAAAGTGCTTTGTGTCTGGCAAGGGGCAGCCTGGTGGGAGCAGCTCAGTCCGGCCTCCTGTTTGGGTCGGACCTGCAGGTGGGCGGGGTGAGGCGCCTCCTTGCTGTGCTGAGCCAGTGCGGCTGACCGGAGCAGGTTCTATCAATCCCTCAGGTGTGATGGGGAGCAGAGATTGGCACCCACCTTCCCAGCACCCCCTACTCTGGTACTCCCACCTGTGACTAAGCCTACAGCTAACATGATTTCTATCTCCACATCTAAACAAAGCCACACTGGGTACCTGTTGATGACAGCAGTGGACAATCTGTTAATGTTGGTGAGACCCACTCACTCTTTTTCTTCCTTGGTGGGGCTCACCCAACACCAAACAATTGGAGGAGTAAAGTGACCAAGGAAGGATTTATGATCAGTAATGTATGTGGATCAAGACACACGTGGTGATTACGGGCAACAAATTTAACACCCCCAAGCCTCAGTTTCCCCATTGGGTTGTTGTGTGGGTTAAATGAGGTCAACCGTTAAAGTTCAGTACATAGCACGTAAGTCATACTCGGAGAAGGTTAACTCTTATTACTAAGGACTTCACAGTGGTAAGTTAATGTTTGATATTAGTTTAGCATTTGTGATTTCTGGCCAATAACAGTGATGCTACTGTCAGCAGGAGATCTTTCGTGAAGTTTTGCTTAGAAACGAAAGGATACCATCAGTCCCCAGGAGTCCATTTGTGCTAGAGTCAGGTTGCAGGACAAATCACACGGGGTCAGCTCCGAGTTTGGACTGGTCAGCACCCTCCTGTACTTAACCTTACACTGGGCACAGCTAGAAATCGGACAGTCACAATTTTACTCCCCCACATTCCCGGATGAGACCGGAGGTGGGTCTCCCTGTACCATTCCTGGGCCTGGGAGGCTTGAGGTGGATTGGATGTCAGGAGCAAAGCCCTGGACCCGCCCTCCCTCCATAGTGTTTCCAAGACCTTGACTTTCATGTTTAGCCTGTGTTTCCTTCTTCTCCCGTAAAGGAGGAGGTCCCTGGATGGGCGTGAGAGTCCTGTCCTCTGCACCCCACTCCCACTCACCAGCAGGTCCTATGAAATGAAAGCATGGAGACAACGTCTTCTGTGGTGTAGGGCATTAGGGTACCCACTGATTCGAATTCCCTGGGGAACTTTTTTAAAATGCATGTTTTTTTGCCTTGATGGGGTGGCTCAGGTGGTTGGAGCATCACCCCGTATACCAAAAAGGTTGTGAGTTTGATTTCCGATTAGGGCACATATCTAGGTTGCATACGTGGTTGGGGCGCATATGGTAGGCAGCCGATCAATATTTCTCTCTCCCCTCCCCCTCTCTCTAATAAATAAAAATATATCCTGGGGTGAGGATTAAAAAAAAAAAAAGCATGTTTCTTGCTGATCCCAGATTCTAACCAAATCAGAATCTGGAGTGGGGGTGAGACCAAAGAATGTACATTTCTAACCAAGCCCTTCAGGTGATTCTGATGCCAAATAAAGTAGGTGAGAGGGTGCCCTGGGGCATGGTCAGAAAAGTGGAGCATGGGTGAAGGATCCTAGGAGGATGCCAGCATTATCCTCATTGTTTTCCACTTTTTCCTTCCTGCCCCATACCCTTTCCTTCGCTGCTTTCTGGGCAAGCCAAGGCTACTGCCAAGGATGGCTTCCGGCCTCTACCCCAGTGGACAAATTCAGCTTGTCTGGGGCTCCCCCTCAGCCTCCAGCCCCACTGCGGAGTGCCTGCTGGAGTCCTCACTGCCTGCCAGGAGGGGCAAGAGGCAGGAGGTCAGGCAGAGGCTGGGGACACAGCAGCGGCAGCCCAGGGCTCCATTTCCTCCCCCAGCTCTGGGCCTCTGGGGCAGAGGAAGCCCAGGCAGGAAGGCAGAGCTGCCACCAGCAGAGAGGCATACAAAGCTCCCCCCACCCCCAGCCATCCTGCCCCAGAGCCTTAGCATCTTGTGTCTTCATCTGGCACCACCGTTAGGCCATGGCCTTCTGAGCCTCTGTGGCCATAGTCAGCCTCACCCTGTCGGAAGACACTCCCGCCCCTCGCGTTAGTGGCCCCTATCTGGGGATCCAGTCCACAGGCAAACCCCTGCTTATTTGCCACCTTTCAGAAAGTCCTTCTTACTGTCTGACCTCAGTCCTTCTTGCTGCAGCTCCGGCCCTTATCTTCTTGTTCTAAACCTTTGAGAAATGAAGAAGGGGGTAGCTTTGAAGCACTAGTTGGTTTGGGACCAGGTTTGGGGACTGTCATAGAGCAGAATCACTCCCCTTAACCCTCTCCATCCAACTTCTGGAAAAGGTCAACCTTAGCCAGCCATGGAAGGTCAAACATTCAGTGTCTAAGTGTGTTTCACTTCCCTCCCCACATCGTTGGCCCTGCCCCACCCTTTCCAGGACAGCAGGCAGAGAGGAGGGGGCCCGGGGATGGCCACAGAGGGCCTCTGACACTCTGGCTGCAGGAGGCTCCTTCCACCCAGTGAGCCAGCACTATGGGAGCTTGGTGTGGCGGCTACAGCCCCGAGGGCTCGGACACAGGCTGCCACCCGGATTGGGAGACAGAGAGGAAAGAGCACTGGACTGGGAGTCTGGACACTGGGGTTGTGCTCCTGGTCCCGCCACTGAATCCTGTCTGGACTTGGACAAGTCTCTTCCCCTGTCTGAGCCTTAATCCTGTCATCTCTAATGTCAGAGCTGGGCTTTGTGAGTCACTAGGTGGTTCCTCGGATTCGGATTCGGATTCGGATTCGGATTCGGTCACAGGGCTGTTCCAGCCGCCGGTGGCTTCCCCAGACCCCGTGCCGCTCCAGCCTGCCCTGGGAATGTGTCCTGACCTCCATGCTGTGCGTGACTCCTGCCTGTTCTATCCAGACCCCAATCTAAACAATCTTGATTCCTGTTCCCAGCTTGGCGGGACCCTGAATGGCAGGAAGTGAAGACAGGAGCCTGTTTATGTTTGAGGCAGCCAAGGCTGGGGAGGGGGGGCACTGGGAAATGGGTGGGCAGGGGGGAGGCTGGAAGGGGATGGGCAAGAGGCAGAGGATAGAAGGGGGTGCTGCTGAAGAGATGGTCCTTCACCCCAGCCCCGAGCCCTCTGTGCCCTCCAGTTGTAGCTCAGCAGCTGGGTTATGGGGCTGGGAGTCTCCCCAAGCTCTCAGTCACTTAAACATGGCTCCCCACCCTTTACCCCTAACAGGATGGTTTCCATGGGGAAGTGAACCAGGACTTCCCCTGCAAGCCCCACCCCAAAGCCAGGCAGTGGAGTCGGGAGGAGCCCTGCCTGCCCACCCCCCCCAAACACTCCCAGTGATTTCCTCTGGGTGGGAGGGACCCACGGTCAGTGGCTGAAAACACTGAGGGGATCACATTTCACAGGTCTTACTGCACCCCCTCTCCTGCTCCTCTCTCCAGGACCATGAGCTTGGACCCCCCCAGGAGATGCCTTCTGATGCTACTGATGGCTTTGAACCTGACCCAGGGTGAGTCCTGTAGGGAACAGGGGCCTGAATGGAGAAAGGGGCTCAGCTCTTGCTGGGCTGTTTGAGGAGTTGGGGAGAAGGGACTTTGGAGCTTGGCTGGAGGGCAGGAGACAGGCTACCCCAGCCCTCTTCTGCTCTAGCTGGGGGGTGCAGAGAGTGTGTGAGGGGGGGGTGCAGAGTGGGGATGTTGGCAGGGAGGGCCTGGAAGAGTCCTCAGGGTTGGGGCTGGGGGCCAGGGCTGGGCCTGGAACTGGGGAGGAGGCGTTGGGGTGAGGGAAGGGATGGAGGCCTGCTTCTAATCGTCTCAGCTGCCCCCTGGAGGGAAGGATAATCTGAGGGTGGAACTCAGGGACCAAGGCCTCAAGGGGTTTGTCTGAAAGGTCAGAGGGGAGAGAGCAGTGGGTGTTGGGCTCAGCCTGGGGAACTGGGCTCAGGGTGACTGAGCTTCTGCTGTGCCTCCCAGGTGACCCTGTGAAGCCCTCTCGGGGTTCGCTGTTGACCTGCACGTGTAAGGGCCCACGATGCAGGGCGCCTACCTGCCAGGGGACCTGGTGCACTGTAGTGCTGGTGCGGGAGGAGGGCAGGCACCCCCAGGAACATCGGGGCTGTGGGAACTTGCACCCAGAACTCTGCTGGGCACGCCCCACTGATGTCGTCAACCACTACTGCTGCTACAGCTCCCTCTGCAACCACAACGTGTCCCTGGAGCTGGAGGGTATGTCTGCTGCCTCAGCACCACCTACCCCACCTCTCAGACCCTGCCCTCTCACCCTGCTTTCCTCTCGTGCCTGCCCGGAGGGTGGGGAGGCAGGACCCAGGGACCTAATGGCAGTGGCAAGGCGCGGGAGGGGAAATGTCCCGATGGCAGCCGGGTCTCAGTGTCCTCTCTCTGGCAGCCTACCCAACCCCGGAGCAGCCGCAAGGAGACAGCCAGCTGCCTCTGATCCTGGGCCCTGTGCTGGCCTTGCTGGTCCTGGTGGTCCTGGGTGCCCTGGGCCTGTGGCATGTCCGGCGGAGGCAGGAGAAACATCAGGGCCTGCACAGCGAGCTGGGCGAATCCAGACTCATCCTGAAGGCATCCGAGCAGGGGGACAGCATGTTGGGGGTATGAGCATGGGGAACATGGGACACGGGGGGAGGAATAGGCAGAAGCCACAGAATCGGAGGGATGCAGAGTGACAGGTGGCCGAGAAGGGCACAATCACAGACACTCAGATGCCAGTGGGTGGGGAGCTGGGTGAGGGAGGAGCATGCAGCCACAGTAGCAGGGGCCAGGTGGGGAGAGAGAAGGGGGCTGGGTGAAGGACAGCTCTCAGTGGCCTCTTTGTACCTTCAGGACTTCCTGGACAGTGACTGCACAACGGGCAGTGGCTCGGGGCTCCCCTTCCTGGTGCAGAGGACGGTGGCACGGCAGGTCGCCCTGGTGGAGTGTGTGGGTGAGCAGTGGGTGAGCCTGGGGGATGGGGACCAAGGGCTCCCATGAACTTGGAGGGGTAAGAGAGCTCTGGGCCTCTGGAGTCACAGACGGGGCCAGGCCTGGCTCAGATGGAATTCTGCTGGGCACGGAGTGGGTGGAGACCGGTCAGGGCTAGGTCCTTCTGCAGAAGCCAGTAGGGAACAAGAGGCAGGTGGGGGTGGCCTGCGAGCGGGGTAGGGGTCGGGATTAGGTTAAGCAGAAGTGTCAGAGGTTCTGCAGATGGGTCAGTGCAGCTGGGGACCACTGTGCCCAGGGGCTTGTGTGACCTTCTCTCCCCTCCACCCCCCTGCCATTGGATCAGGAAAGGGCCGCTATGGCGAGGTGTGGCGAGGCCTATGGCACGGTGAGAGTGTGGCGGTCAAGATATTCTCCTCGAGGGATGAACAGTCCTGGTTCCGGGAGACTGAGATCTACAACACAGTGTTGCTCAGACACGACAACATCCTAGGCAAGCCGGGTGGGGGAGGGGGTG